TATGAGTGCACAGTGTGTGTATGAGTGCACAGTGTGTGTATGAGTGCACAGTGTGTGTATGAGTGTGCAGTGTGTGTGTATGAGTGTGCAGTGTGTGTATGAGTGTGCAGTGTGTGTGTATGAGTGTGCAGTGTGTGAGTATGAGTGTGTAGTGTATGAGTGTGCAGTGTGTGAGTATGAATGCTGTGTGTGTGTGAATGCAGTGTGTGTGTGAGTGCAGTGTGTGTGTGAGTGCAGTGTGTGTGAGTGCAGTGTGTGTGTGAATGCAGTGTGTGTGAGGTGCAGTGTGTGTGTAGGTGCAGTGTGTGTGTGAGTGCAGTGTGTGTGTGGGGTGCAGTGTGTGTGTGTGAGTGCAGTGTGTGTGTGAGTGCAGTGTGTGTGTGTGTGTGCAGTGTGTGTGTATGCTGGAGTGCAGTGTGTGTGTATGTGAGGTGCAGTGTGTGTATGTGAGTGCAGTGTGTGTATGTGAATGCAGTGTGTGTGTGTGAGATACAGTGTGTGTGTGTGAATGCAGTGTGTGTGTGTGTGGGGGTGCAGTGTGTGTGTGTGAGTGCAGTGTGTGTGTGTGAGTTACAGTGTGTGTGTGTGGAGTGCAGTGTGTGTGCAGTGCAGTGTGTGTGGAGTGCAGTGTGTGTGTGTGAGTGCAGTGTGTGTGTGAATAGTGTGTGTGTGAGTGCAGTGTGTGTGTGAATAGTGTGTGTGTGAGTGCAGTGTGTGTGTGAATAGTGTGTGTGTGTGCAGTGTGTGTGTGTGCAGTGTGTGTGTGTGTGAGTGCAGTGTGTGTATGTGAATGCTGTGTGTGTATATGAGTGCAGTGTGTGTATGTGAGTGCAGTGTGTGTATGTGAATGCAGTGTGTGTATGTGAATGCAGTGTGTGTGTGTGTATATGAGTGCAGTGTGTGTGTGATGCAGTGTGTGTTTGTGTTGCAGAGCCTTGGTGGGGGGGTGGGCATTTTTATAAAAAAAAATTTTTTATATTATTTTAATTTTTGTTATATTATTATTATTTTTTTTATTTTTTTATTATTATTTATATTATTTTTTATATTATTTTTATTATTATTAATATATTATTATATTTATATATTTTGTTGTCCCCCCTCCCTGCTTGATACATGGCAGGGAGGGGGGCTCTCCTTCCCGGTGGTGAGTGGCATTGGCAGTTCAGTGGGGGGAGGAGTGGGGCTGGCAGAGCTGTTACTTACCTCTCCTGCAGCTCCTGTCAGCTCTCTCCTCCTCAGCAGTCCGTGCAGCTCTTCTCTCAGCTCACACTGTGAAGTCACCGCGAGTAGCACTGCCCAGCGGCTCCGGGGCTTACACTGAGATTGACGGGGCAACAGCGGACTGTGAGGAGGAGGCTGACAGGAGCTGCAGATAAAATGCTCTACCAGCCCCAGTCTATTATGGCAATGTAAATTTGCCATAGCCACAGGTAAGCTTGAGTTGGGGTTTTCAGCACAAAAATGTGCTGAAAAACTCTCTTACTCTTTCAGTATATCTGATAATAGTAAGTGAAGTAAAGTTCCTATATGTCTTTGGGTAAAACATTAACTATTGCGGTACTATCATTTATATTAGTTAGACCATAACAATTATACCACCCTGTAACTAAAATGAATAACCAGTAGTGGCTGGGTTAATAAAACATGTCACAAACCCTTCTAATGCTAAACCATCATTTAAAGTAAAGAATGTTACTGTAAACCTACGATCTGTAACTAGCAAGATTCGATTAAGTAAAGATACAATGTTTAAAATAACTTGCATTATTTGGCTATTTCCCTTGTTGCAAGATTAATCTGGATAATCAGCTGTTATGCTCTTATATTCGTGTCCAACAGATCTCATTTGTAGGTCACACCACATTTGCAAATTACATTTTAGCAACCTTTTGTTTTGTTTTTTGTTTTTTTGTTTTTTTTTATCACGGACACATTTCTGATACAGGGAAACAAATGGCATGATTGTTTTAGTAATTACAATGTTTCTGTTCATAATATGTAGAGTGTAAGGAAAACAACATGTCTCTAAATAGGACGAGCATAATAGGGGTAGGCCTCATGATGGAGGCAGCCATGACAGGGGCGGGGAAGGAAATGACAGCAAGGGAGGAAGTGAGAGGGGTGACATCCATGATATGTGTGGGAAAGGAAGACAGGAGGTGTGGGCATGGTAAGGGCGGAAGTGACGTCACTTTAGAAGCAACCGTGACTGTAGATAGGTCACAGGACTGGCAGGGTCAACCTCCTTCTGTACTAGGCGCCATCTTTAGGGTGGTGGCTGATGCACTTTCAACAATACACTATATTATAACTATTAAAATAAGTCAGAGAAGCAACATTCTGTTCTGCAAAATGAAATACTAAACTATGAACCGACCTGGCAGGTTAAATAAGACAGTTGAGAACATTATGCATTTAACAGCCCATACAGCTGTTTCTAGAAACATGTACTTCAACATAAAGGAAAATAAACTCACGGAATTCAACCAATTTCCCTTATCATCCTCCAACCATTAATCACTTTCCTCTTCACATACTAACTTAACTTCGCATATTCCCTCTATCCACATTGCATAGTTGTGCAACAAATCACGCTTGCCTTTACACTTAACACGTCCAAATATTCCTCTATTCTTGTATCAGATTCACTTACCTAACCTACGTAAATCAACACTGAGCTACATCCCTGACTCCCTGTCTTATACACCAGTCTTGGAGAGAATACTCAGAAAGGTGGAATGCATTCTTGTGAGCGAGCCCCCCCACAATCTTCACTGCCTTATCACAAAACACAATATATATATATATATATATATATATATATATATATATATATATATATATATATATATATATATATATATATATATATATATATAGCACCGTGGAATCTGCCGGCGCCATGCAAACGGCAACAATAATAATATTAGTACACAATTATAACACCATAACCTTTGAATTAGAATATTTTCCAGCAAAAATCCCGTCTCTAACTCTTATCAGTAGCTCCGAAATGCAGAAATGTAGGCAAGCGGGGAGGAGGGGGGGGAGAAAGTGAGACAGTGCAAAAAAGGGGAGAGAGAGAGACTGCAGGCATAAAGGTTAACCATGTGAGTGCTGTAAAGTAACAAGACAGAAGGACAGAGACTTATACGTTTGGAAACCAGAAATCTTTGACGGGAGAAACGGACTGGAGGTGCAGGGAGCTGCAGAGAGAGGATGAGGGTGACGAGATCTGTAGGACTGATGGGGGGGGGGAAGAATAGGGTTCCATCAGCATTCAGGACTGGGCAAACAGGGGTGGTGGTAGGGTGGGGACCAGGGGTGGGGACCATGGTCAGCTACATTTCGGTCATTGCTGACGCGATGTTGGGAGTGGTCACCTCCTGGGCACCATCATAGGGCGCTGGCTGGGAGGACTTCCCAGTAACACAATTATTATAATACACAAACAATCTTAAACCTTTGTGATCAATTTCTTCCTCAACCTATCCCTTTTGCTGAATAGCTCTTGCTACTCGGTACCAGGCTTCTGCTGTACGAACCAAATCTTGGTCCGACAGCTTCCCTTTCTTCTCTGTCAGTAGCTTACGCCAGCTCTCTGGCTACAATCTGCCGCACAGAGGTACGGTAATTCCACATACTTTAGCAATCTTATCAACCTTCTTAACCATCTCTTCACCTTCTCTATCTTCTACCAAGTCTCGTGCTAGCCAACCCTTATCGGGTTTTCCCAGTTTCTGTCCCATATTCCCTATACAAGGCGTCCCAGATATAGAGAGAGAAAGGAACAGAACGTCTACCGTGCTTGACTGCTACTTTAAGAGCAAGCTCTTTAAGTACGTCTTCCCAAAACGTAGACTAGTCACTGATTCCGCCTACCCGTGGTAGCCGCGGATTGGAGCGTGGCGAGAAGTGTGTGACCAATCACTTCTCTCAACAGAGAAAGAGAAATAGGAGGGGAAAGTGTAAATATGTATTTGTGTATATGTGTGCATGTTTTAGTGTGTGTATCTGTCTGCAATGTGAGGGTGGTATGGTATGGGTAATGCAAAGGTAAAGTTGCAAGCAACATATATATTAAATGCATACATACATATAAAATACATGGGGAAACACATATAGGATAATATACATATAAAGGATTATAGAATATGTGGGGAAAATGTCTGAGATTTTTTTTCTTATCTCTAACTATTATTTGGAAAATTATTTTTTAACCCGTTAAGACCGGAGGGCGTACTAATACGCCCTATAAGTACGCCCTCCGGTCTTTCTGGTCTTACCGCGGCACGTCCGACCCCCTGGAAGCCCCCCGGCCATGTGAGAGTGAGGTCCTTGCGAGGACCCCACAATCACATGGCCGGGGGTAGCTGCCTCCTGCATTGCCAGCAGGGGGGCTGCCTGTAATGACAGGTGGTCCCCCTGCTGGCTGAAAATAAAATAAATAAATGTTAAAGAACCACTATAGTGCCAGGAAAAAATACTCGTTTTCCTGGCACTAAAGTGCCCTGAGGGTGCCCCCACCCTCAGGGTCCCCCTCCCGCCCGGCTCTGGAAGGGGGAAAGGGGTAAAAACTTACCTTTTTCCAGCTCTGGGCGGGGAGCTCTCCTCCTCCGATCCTCCTCTTCTCCTCCCCGTCGGCTGAATGCGCACGCGCGGCAAGAGCTGCGCGCGCATTCAGCCGGTCACATAGGAAAGCATTCATAATGCTTTCCTATGGACGCTGGCGTGCTCTCACTGAAAATCACAGTGAGAAGCACGCAAGCGCCTCTAGCGGCTGTCAATGAGACAGCCGCTAGAGGAAATAGGGGAAGGCTTAACCCATTCATAAACATAGCAGTTTCTCTGAAACTGCTATGTTTATGAAAAAATCGGTTAACCCTAGCTGGACCTGGCACCCAGACCACTTCATTAAGCTGAAGTGGTCTGGGTGCCTAGAGTGGTCCTTTAATAAAGTGTAAAAAAATTATAATATATACTTAGATCATATATATATTTATGATCGAAGTGTGTGTATGTATGTGTGTGTGTGTGTGTGTGTATATATATATATATATATATATATATATACACACACACACACACATATACATACATACACACACGTACACTGTCTAGGTGTATTTTACTATTAATAAATATATATATATATATTAAAATGAAATTACACGTAGACTGATACTGATTAAATATATATATAATTGTTATATATTTATAATATAAAAAAAATAAATATGTAAATATGTAAAAAAAAAAAAATAATAATAATTAAATATATAGATGTGTTATTTCGTTCTAACTGTTTTTTGATATTAATATATATATTTATATCAAAATACACGTAGAACGAAATTATATATATCTATATACATAAATATATACGTATATATCACTATATATACCTATATTATAAATTAAAATATTTTTAAAAAATTATACATATTCACATACGTGTGTATATATACACACATATATTAATTCTACATATATATTTATGTAATAATTTTACATAATTGGGTATCTTAATTAATTACAATTAGCGGGACCTGTCTGACAACCCATGCTGAAAGTAAAGGGAATTTAATTTGCTAGCACTATATTTAACCCTATAACTTTCCAAGACCCCATAAAACCTGTACATGGGGGGTACTGTTCTACTCGGGAGACTTCGCTGAACACAAATATTAGTGTTTCAAAACAGTAAAATGTATTACAACGATGATATCGCCAGTAAAAGGGATGTTTTTTGCATTTTTCATGCACAAACAGCACTTACACAGACTATATTATTGCTGCGATACTTTTTACTGTTTTGAAACACAAATATTTGTGTTCAGCGAAGTCTCCCGAGTACAACAGTACCCCTCATGTACAGGTTTTATGGTGTTTTCAAAAGTTACAGCGTCAAATATAAGGCTTGCGTTTCATTTTTTTCACATTAAAATTTGCCAGATTGGTTACGTTGCCTTTGAGACTCTATGGTAGCCCAAGAATGAAAATTACCCCTTTGATGGCATACCATTTGCAATAGTAGACAACCCAAGGTATTGCAAACAGGGTATGTCCAGTCTTTTTTAGTAGCCACTTAGTCACAAACACTGGCCAAAATTGTGTTTTTTTTTTTTGCATTTTTCACACAAACAAATACTAATGCTAACTTTGGCCAGTGTTTGTGGCGAAATGGCTACTAAAAAAGACTGGACATACCCCATTTGCAATACCTTGGGTTGTCTACTATTGCAAATGGTATGCCATTATGGGTGTAAATTTCATTCTTGGGCTACTATACAGTCTCAAAGGCAACATAACCTATCTGGCGAATTTCAATTTCAAATGAAACGTGCTATATTTGACCCTGTAACTTCCCAAAATGCCATAAAACCTGTACATAGGGGGTACTGTTTTACACGTGAGACTTTGCTGAATACAAATATGTGTATTTTATTGCAGTAAAAGAAAACAGTAAACATTGACCGTTAAAATGTCATGTAGAACAAAAAAAAAAAATCTTATTTTCTCCCATTTTTTTTCATATTAAATTGTTTCATAGCTAAATATTTGATATTAAATGAAAACCCTGTTTCCCCTGAATAAAATGATATATAATAAGGGTGGGTGCATTTAATATGAAAGAGGTGAATTACGGTTGGATAGACATGTAGCGCAAATGCCAGGTTTTGTTTCGTTCACAACGTGTACATTTGGCTCTGTCCTTAAGGGGTTAAAAACCCAACCAAAATATTAATTTTTGTTTCCAATAACCCCTTCACACTGGCACTTATGTATACATGACGACCAGGCTATACAACCGTACCCCGCAATCTTGTATAAACGATTAGCGTAATTGCAATTTAAATGTGTTTATTGCAAATTATGGCATAACTACAGTCAGACGGCTCACAACGGATCAGCACATAATGCCGCGACAATGCAAGCCTCTGAAGATGAATACAGAGACTAGCTCTCTGTATCTAACTCTGCAAGCCCGTCTTTCAATATATCTGCAGCTTCTTATTCACACATAAGGCAACCCCTACTTTTTTTTCACTAATGGTTTTAGTGGGGGCCTCATGTTTGAGTTTCGCGAGACTTCGCAAAGTCTAGAGCCGCCCCTGCATTTTTGGCAATGATTATTTCTCCTATATATGACAGTTGTGTTGGATACCTCTCCATACGCATAATGTTTACTAGTAACTTCAGCCTTCTTGTCTTTTGGCCATGTAATGTTCAAATATAGTGTATTGCTTGGGCCATAATATTTCCTTAAATATGCAAAGGTAACAAATAGACATTGTGTCAATTAACCATAATGTAACTCATAATACAAATACTTTTTAAAATAAACTACTGTTTCATCGTAACAGAATTATAAATTGCAATAGCATGTCATTTTTGTGTGTTCATCTCTGGGACAGATGAATGCATTGTTTTTCATTTCCCTTGTTAACTGTATATAAGCAACTTTTTTTTCCCGAAGACTTGTTTCATGAGATTTGATGTACTGTCTAGTGTTTTTCCTCTTTTTATTTTTTTTTTGGTAACCTAAGAATTTTACAAGACAATATTTAACAGTGTGTAGGCAGTAAAAAATGTTGATTCAGTGGGGTGCCAGTTTAGTAATTTTACTCCAAACCACATGGTGGGAATACCATCTTTTTCAGAATGAAGTGTGGGGATAAGTAATAACTTTTTATGCATGATGAGCATCAAAATAAAAACCTGCTGTTTTCTGTTTTTTCATTTTCTTTACCTTTCTCTTTCCCTTAAAACCTCCTGCTGAGGCTCACAATGTGATCAATATACTCAATAACACTTTTTTTTCCATGCAGTAATTATCTCAATGTGATATTATCTTAGCACAGTATTTCTTACTCAAATGTTGCAGGGGAGTTCTGTGCAGCCAGCTGATCCCATTCTGGTTAAATGTGCTTCTTAAAAAGCAATGGAAAGCTTTTTATTTTAAGTAAACTTTTTAACAAAGACTGCATAAAAGCTGCTATTTCAGACTGTGACATGGAAAATAAAATGCCATTTTCTCTGGTAATCTGTGAGCTTGTCATTTCATAGCAGTGATTTATTTGATACATTGTTTAACTCATGCTATGCATTATGGTTAATTTATATATTTGCATATATACATATAAATTGGCTTCCATTGTCTGACATTAGTTCTACAGACATAACAGACAGGATCTTTCTGAACACAAGCAGGACTGGTGCAATTAAAGTATTGAAAACTGTACCTTTGAAAGAACAATTTACCTCAAGACAGTTTTCTCTGTATCTTACCCAAGTCAAGATCATGTTTGCATTTAGTTTTCCAGAATCATGGTATAGAAAGGTGCAAGTATGTCTCAGGTTCTTGTTTAGCAATACCGTAATATGATAAAGACAAAGTGGTGCTCTTAGGAATATTGGGTGAAAGAAGCAAGGAATGAGATTGGCACACTGTGGATTTGGTAACCACAAACTGCAGCTAATGACGTGTCTGCTACTTTCGTAGCCCAGATTAGTCATAATAAAGTATGTGCATTCCTCGTGTAGGTTGGAGATTCTTTAAACAACTAAAAGTTTTAGCATAAAAACAAAGTATCGTGCTTTTTTTTTTGTTTTTGTTTTTTTCACAGAACATACATAGTCACCCAGTAGACGTGTTAATTTAGAAGGCCTTTCCCTTACTACATTTCCATTTCTATAGTGTACTCCATTTTATGTTGTGTTTTTTAGATTAACTTCATTATTTGACTTACTATGATATAACATTTCTGAATGATTACTTTTTACAGGAACCTCTTTCACTGCATATGGTGGTGAGTGTTCAGACTATAGTTGATGGACATGACACTAGTTTATGATCTGTATTGCAGAAGTCAGTAACCCATTCACCAAGGGCTAACCGAAGGGTATAGGTGAACAGGGGCCCAGTCAGATACCCTTCCTGACCACATAGAGGTATGGAGGGGAGGATAAAATCATTTAGTTGACAGACTCGGGGGTGGACCTTGAATTGGGTTAGGTTCATCAAAATTTCTAATGGCAGCCCTGATGCTTAGTAGATAGATGCCTTTCATTGCCAGTGCAGGTGGTGTTCTTAGGGGATCTTTAATGCCCACCATTTTGTTTTTATTCTAACACTTTCTTGGGTGTAGAAAAATGACAAGGCTCCTGGAGACTAGGACATAGCTACAGGAGGAAATCGAGTTTTAGGTAAGTACATCTTCCCCTCTCTCATCACCATGAACGTGGATATGTCACAGGAGGTGGGGGAGTGAAAAAATGTATTACATATAGTTACATAGTTGAAAAGAGACTTGTGTCCATCAAGTTCAGCCTTCCTCACATTTGTTGATGATGTAGTATATTAAAGTAATTTATTATATTTTTATGTCTATCCATAATTAAATTGTACTGTATATGTCTCCTATTACAGGGGTAGTAATGTATTTTTATGTGCTCTCCAGGATATACTATCTTTATGTACCTTTCTTGGTAAAATGTTTAATGAATCAATATTGTGTTTCAGATTGAAGTGCTGCAGGAATCGCGTATGATGATCCCAGACTGCCAGCGTAGATTAGAGGCAGCTCACACAGATCTCGTGCAGCTCTTGGTAAGTACAGAGTATGCGAATTTAAAACAAACTTGTCATCTTGTAGGCTAGTAGCCTGGTGGTCTGAGTTTGCAGAATGTTTTTGTTTCTCTTGTAACTCTTGTATACTGTAGTGAATTTTGGAATGCATTCTCCTCCTGCTTGTAGTATACTAGTATTCTTAAGCTTATTTTGCTTTTTTTTAAAGGCATGTCTTATTTATTTATTTATTATTGCCATTTATATAGTGCCAACAGACTTTGTAGCGCTTTACAATATTATTAGAGGGGGATAAAACTATAAATGGGACAATTACAAGAAAATTTACAGGAACGATAGGTTAAAGAGAACCCTGCTTAAACGAGCTTACAGTCTATAGGAGGTCGTGTGTTAAAAACAACAGGACAGGAAATATGAATCAAATAAGTGGAAGTGAAGCAGAGCTGGAGGAGAGAGTAGAGTGCTGCCATTTAGGAGAGAGCAAGAGACAGGTATGTGAGGTAGAGGTTACTCTGGGAGGCCA